AGCCAGGAGGCCGTGCGGGCCAGCCGCCGGGAGGCCGGCGAGTGCCGCCGCCAGCTGCAGGCCCGCCTCGTCGAGATGGAGAGCCTGCGCGGCGCCCACCAGTCCCTGGAGAGGCAGCTGCAGGAGCTGGAGGAGCGGCACAGCGCCGAGGCCGCCGGCCTGCAGGTGAGCCGGGCGGCGCCGGGAACCGTGCCCGGGAACCGTCCCCTCCCCGCGCTGGCCGTGCCCCTGCGGCACCCAGCATCCTCCTCCCGTGCGGTCTCGTCCCAGCGCTCGGCACCTCCATCCCTCCCGCTCGCCCAGCACCGCGTGGCACCGGGCCCCTTCATCCCACGCAATCCCCCCGGCGCCCTGCGGCACCCAGGGCCTCCCCGCCACGCAGCACCGGCGCCTCCGACCCAGCGCTCCCCCTCCCCTGGTCCTGGGCAGCCCCGAGCATCTCTTCTGCATGCAAAATCCCGCAGCGCAGCTCCATCCTCTGCAGCAGCCCCTCCCGCAGTTCTGGGCAGCGCTGGACACCTCGGCCCAATGCGGTGTCGTGTCCCCCCCCCCGCACCGTGCAGCACCCGGCGCCCACTCTATCCCGTGCTGTGCTGCGCTGCGTGCAACCCCCCCCCGCACCCGCTCCAGCCGCCAGCACTATACAGCACCAACCCCCTCTTGCCTTGTGCAGCACCCACCCACGCAGGGGCAGTGCCCCCACAGCACTGCGCAGCACCAGGCATCCCTTGTAGCCTTCCTCCCGCCCTGGCTTAGGGCCTCTCTGCCCTGCACAACAGATCCTGCTTCACCAGGGCATCGCCTGCTGCCTTCACCCTTTATCCATAGGCAGGACCCCAGAGGGCAGGTTTCGGGGGGACAGGCAGGGCCACGACACTCCCTCCAACACCCCCTTTCCGCAGGGGACGTCCCTGCACGTGGTAGTGCTGTGTGGGGCATCGCCCCATCCCTGCCCTGTCCCTTAAGGGTCAGCTCCAAAATTGACCACACGTTCCCCGTCGTTGTGGGTAATTCCTCGAAGCCGTCTGCCCAGGCTTGGCCCCTCGCCCTGTGGCCTGGCTCTTGGCACCTGCACTGCAGAAATCGGAGCTCTGCAAACGTTAAGGCTGAATCTGCAGCCAGATCCCAGCATCTCTCATGTCTGTGGAAAGACTCACGTGGGGCAGACACTGAGTGCTCCGTATCTCTTATGCCATTACTGCAGTATTACCACATTTTCTTGCTACAGGGATATGTTCATGATTTATAATCAAATAAATCCCGAGATTGTTCTATTACAAGGCTATTAAATGATCTGTGGTTTCTAAGTCAGGCTCTTTCCTTCTAAATAGTGAAACAACTGCCTTACGTCATACCTGAAGGATGTTGTTATTTCACACCCAAGTAATGCCTTGTCATTTTCAAGGCCGAATTTTGCAAGGCTCTCTACAATTCGTGACTGCAGCTCCAAGCTGCTTGCAATCTTCCTGAATAGTTGAGGTGGTCTTCAACAAATATTGTGGAAATAGGCAATATACAATATTTCCTGTAGTGGGTGAAAGGATTACACACAGTAATCTTCTTAAATAGTCTTCATGCCATGTAAAAAGAGGGATTCCAGGAACAGCCTATCAAATGGGAAAAAAAAAAAAAGCAACTGGATTAAACAGCACCATAATTGAAATTGCTTTAGTGACAGCACAGCAGCATTTTCCTACATGACCCTCAGGATCTGCTTTAACTGTGGTAATACTTAGGAGTCTTTTCAGCAATATGCATGTGTAGCAGGTAAATAATTTCCCTGTCTGCAACCAGTGGAAAAGGATGGAAGTCTGTCTTAAAAGAGAATATTCCTATTGTTTGAGCTTTTAAAATGTTCCTATAGACTGCTAAAGCAGGGGCATATCTTTGTATTTGTAGGCTATCCAGTCAAATCCAAACCAATACGCGAGAGCTTTCTGTTAGGGAACAGGTTCGCAGTGATGTGGGGAGGGGGTTTCATTCAACCAGCTGGTGGAGCTGGGGTGTGGAAGAGAGGTACAGACAGGGTAATAACAAGGATAACCCATTTTTAAGGAGCATTTTGTTCATGCAGACTGCAGGCAGAGGGAAGGGGGCTGAAGGCACGGAGAGTCAGAGCAGCAAGAGTGAGGCTGTCCCGGGGTAGGGTCACCCCAAATCTCTCCCTCCTGTCATGGCTCGGTGCAGCAGCAGTCTGGCTGCATCAGAGCGGAGATTTTAATCTGTACTGCAGTGGCATCCATGCACGTCCTGGGGCTTTTCAGTTGGTGCCCCAATGGTCTCCTTGAACCCTCTCCCATTGCCCAGTCCCACCTCAGAGGCACAGCTCCATGCAGCTCTCTTGCTGTGGGAGGTGGTCAGGGCAGCACAGGACAAGGCAGAGACCCCGAGGATAGCCCATAAATGTCCCACAGCGTGGGATGTGTTCAGCTAACTTGGTTGTGAGATGCCCTGTGCTGCATTCAGGATGGGCTGGCGCTGCTTCTCCCAGGGGCTCAGAGTGGGCTCGCTGCGTCAGGCTCAGCACAGCTCCCTGCTCCTTGGGCAGCTCCACGTCTCATGGCTGTCTCTGCACTGTGCACAAGGAAGGTTATGCAGGACACGAAGGAGGGGACAAGATGGGAATGAGGACAGGGACAAGATGGGGATGAGGACAGAGACAGGATAGGGATGATGTGGCAGGACAAAGCTCGTTCGCTGGAACAGGGGAGCTGGAAGCGATTGCAAAGGCCCAGCTGTGGGAGGGGGGTGCAGGAGAGCAGATGTTGGCAGTGGCCATTGGTGGGCTTTGCAGGCAGGGCTGCACTGTCACTTAAATGCAAACTGCTTACTCATTCTTGCTCCAAATCACGCTCCTCCAGTGGCATAGTGGGGCAGCTGGCAGCGGGAAACCATCTGATTGGGAAGATCCCTATAGAAGTGGACTGCTGCTTAGATACCTGGATGCATGTGTGAGAAAACCAGGCTACTTGTTTTCTGACAAAAAAAAAAAGAAAAAAAGATTAGTCCCCTTTGTTAGCAAGAAATCTGGCCTTGGACTCTTCCACATCGCAGGTAGAACTGGATGTAGCAGCCATGGCAGGGCAAAGCTGATGGGAAGGATGCTAGAAGGACATCGTTGTCCATCTGAGCACCCTGGCTCTTACAGGGCAGGCCCCTGACTCTGTAACCGCCCCAGATCCCTGTGTCACCCTGGGGCCCTGAGGCGTTTTCTGGGGAAAGTGTCAGACTTCCCCTCCTGGCGCCAGCTCTTCCCTCCTACCCTGGCAACACCACCTCTCCTTCCACCACCCGGACCCGTGTCCCAGTGCAGACTGCAGCCCTTCTCCAAGCACCTGCTCCAGCCGTGGGCTGCTGCAGTGCTGGGTGCTCTTGCTTGTCCCGCTAAGCCACTGCCCCTGCTTTGATGATGTTTAAGCCCAAAACTTCCTGTCCCTCCCCAGCAGCTCTTCCCTTCCCTCCCTAGCATCCTGCCTCGTCCCCCAGGGGACTGGGGGCTCCACCACTGTGCGCCCCCCCCATCTCACAGACCCTGCTGCAGATGGGAAACTATATAAATCTATCAAGGTTTAAAACCCACCACCATGCACACTCACAAGCCATGGCTGGTGCACTACCTCCTGCTTCATCCCTGTTAACATGAGATTTCTTGGTCCCAAGCTCCTGGTGGGATGTGCCATCATGGACCAACTGCCCGTTGCCGCTTCCCTGTCTCTGTGATGGGCAGAGCAGAAAAGCGGTGGGAGAGGTCCCTGCTCTGAAACGTGGCCCTGAGCACCCTTGCCTTTGCAGGACACCATTGGGCAGCTGGAGGACGACCTGCGAAACACCAAAAACGAGATGGCTCGGCACTTGAGGGAGTACCAAGACCTGCTTAATGTCAAGATGGCCCTTGATATCGAGATAGCTGCCTACAGGTAAGGCTGCTCTGACCCTGCTCTGCCTGGCCACTTCCCACGCCTAATCTCCTGACCCCACCAGGCTGGGATATTTTAAGGGCCTGGAAAATATCGGTGCACACTCAAGGAGCAACATCATCATGTTGCTCATCTCCCCTGCCTGGACCTGCCGTGCTTCTGCCTGGGGAGCAGCCATGGCTCCCTGTCATGCCTCAGTCTAGCAGCCACGAATGCCCCCAGCCATCCCAGAAGCGGTGTTTTCTAATGGGGACTGTTGGGGTTGGAAACTTGTCTCTCTTGCAAAGTCAAAGTAGATGCAAAAAGCAGAGTCCCTCTGGTTCAGGGTTTTATTTTCCTGGCGTTTCTGGAGGGAGCTGGTCTCATGTACCCCATATTGCAAGTGGTCCAAAAATGATTGACCAAAGTATATGATTTTGAATCAGTCGCATCGTGCAGTGGGACCTAAGCCAGTGTTCACCACAGGCTGGGGTGATGGACTGGAGTACTCAGACTTTCTCGCAGGTCACAGCGCACCTTCAAGCTTTGCAGATGTTTCACATGAGATGTCCTCAGACTAACTTCAGACTAACTTCTTCCCTTGTGATGTGCTTGCAGGAAGCTGCTGGAGGGAGAGGAGAACCTCTTCAGCATGGGAAGTGTCGGTGTTTCAGCGCTCAATCCCCTCCCCAACCCTACTTACTCCTTCCAGCCAAGAGGCTTTAGTTCCTCTACTCTGTCCTTCAAGGAGGAGGAGCAAGGAGAGGTTATTAAAGTGACCTCTAAAATATCATGCAGTAGGGCTGAGATGATTGAGGGGACCATAACCTCTGCCAAGAAAAGAGGGAGATTAAACCTGCATGAAGGAATTGTTGCGAATGCAAAAATGTAACCGTCAGGAACCCCTCCTTTTTGCATTTGGGAGGGAACAGTCTCCACTCGGCCTTTAAATTGCCCCTCCAGGCACAAAGCCACGCTGGGCTCGCAGGAAGCCCCCCTTAGAAACACGTAACTCCCCGGGAACACTGACCTGGGGCCGGCTTCCTCGCGGGTCCCGCCACGCAGAGGCCGAGCTTGGCACATTGCTCCCTTTTAAATGGGGAAGAGGCACGGGCAGGTAGCTAGATGCATGTTGGTCATTGTTGTGGTGGCACAGTGGACTCGTAGCACCCACCATCCCTCCCTCCCTCCTTCCGTGGTGGGTGAGGGGGAGGCGGCTGGGCCAGCTGCGCAGCTGGCTCTCCAGGGAGGGGGGGGGCAAGGAAAACAATGTGTTTACTATAACTAGTTTCAAGGCTACACACCTTTATCTACTATCCAAATCCACATATAGCTAAACTCTTCCCTGCTCCTCAAGCCGTAGCCATCCACTTTTAATCCCAGAAGCATAGAAATAGCCATACTGGACTGTAACCACACCTGACATCTGGTCTATGAGCCACTTACGTTTTAAACTATAAGGAACATTTTTTTTTTTTGTCCTGACAACTCTGTCTGGTTTTTGGCAGTGTTAGTCCAGCCAGGCATGCGGGGTTTGCTAGCAGCAGGTGCAGGGCAAGGAACCAGTGCATCGGAGGTGAAGGCACCACCACACCGCCAGGCACAGTGCCGTCTCTGGTGTCGCTGGCTCCAAAATGTCAGGGTCTGCAGGGCCCCTTGTTTGGCTGCACAGTCGTCACATGAAAACCCTGCGCTCACATTAGCATCGTGCCCCAGCCAGCACTGGGAAGCTGCAGGACTCCCGAACACCAGCCTGCAAAGCATCCTCGTCTCCGCTCTAACTGTTCCAACATGTGCCAAATTTGATATAGGATTTACAACCATAGGTTTCCTTCAATGCCTTAAAATTGCCAGCGATCGCTTTTGCAAGAGCCGGAGACTCTGCGTGTGTGTGTGTTGCGTGTCAGTGCACTGGCAAGGTTATCATCACAAGACCTTACTGCCCTCATGGTAGTGCCAGAGTAGTTCCTGGAACCAGCAAATCGTTTGCTTGCACTCTTTCCTCTTCTATTGTAAGGCACAAGTTAATAATTAAAAAGAAAGAAGTAGTTATGTGGATCAAAACCAAGCTGTTTTGTCATCTTTGCTGCTGCTTCACCTTGGGAGCACACCTCAGTGTCTGGCCCATACCCGGTTCGGTCCCCAGCAGTCCCTCCGGTCCCCTGCAAAGAGCTTGGTGTTGGGATGTGGCCACCCAACTTTGCTCCTGGGGCTGCAAGGCAAGGCTGGTCCCACCGATGGCAGTGGGGCATGCCTGGGTCTCACCCCCAGGTGCCTGTCACGGTGGCCCTGTTTTGCAGAAGAGTTCGTAGCCGGCTGGCTGAGGGAACAAGGTCTCCCCTGGCCGAATGCACCCTCATTTGCCCTGAAAATGGACTCTGAGGCTTTGATTTGCATCACACCCCTGACACTTTGGTCCCAAGATACCTGCCATTTCTCCTCCACCCTGCCTGCATGCTCAGGGGTTAAAAATAGCCTCTTTGTTTGCCTTCACAAGTGAAGATAAAGTGATTTACACAATAGCAGATGGAAGAAGTGAGGGTGCACCCACCTCCCAAGTAGACACAGCAGTCAAAGCTGCCCACAGAGCTGGCGTGACTAGCGCTGGCTTATATTCGGAAGATGCCCATGCTCTGCATCAGATGTGCCTGTAGAGGGGCATGTGGGAGGGCAGCGGGGCACAGAAAGAGCACGGGCAGTCTTCCCGCTGCATGGCCCTGCCAGCAGCACACTGTCCTATCGCTTTCCCATTCCTGCCTTGTCATGCCACGTCATGGTGATCTGCACCAGAGCCCTAGAGACACGGTGCGACAGTCACAGGCTTCTCCGCTAGCACTGCAGGCCAAGAGCAGCGTGGCCGCTTCCCTTGACCCTGCCACATCGATAACCTCGGGGATGATGCCCTGACAAGGCCACTCACCGTGGGGTGACGCAGCCCCAGGGAGGGCAGCCTTGCGGGCAGGCGAAGCGAGGTACACCTTTTGGAGGCAGGGGAGGAGGTTCAGGGCATGGCTGGGGCAGCACATCCCACCAACAGTCCCAGCAAAACAGTGCAGAGCAACCTGGGGTGCCCAGGCAGAGCGTGGGGGGGGCAGTACCTGCAGAGTTAAGTCCAGGACCAACCAACCTCCAAATATCTCCTGGCTAAGCTGTCGGTTAGGAAATGCAAACACACAGCATTTCTCCCAAATCATAGGGGGAATAAAAGGCAGATGTGACTGTGCAGCTAATGAAATATATTCTGAACCTCAAATACCCTCCAGCACTGCTTTCTTTCTGTCCCTTGAGTATAAGCAGCCTGACCTGTCTTTCACTCTCAGCAGAAGCCTCCATCAGGATTCCTGCTTGCTCAGCTGGCTGGATGCTAGCAACAAAGCTGAGAATTTTACTTTGGTGATATCAGTGTGAAGGGGCTGCAGTTGTGGACGAGGGCAAAGGAGCCAGGGGGAGGACAAGGCACTGTTTTGGAAAACAGCTGCTTTGCAAGGGCTAGCTCCAGAGATTTCCTGCATTTCTGGAGCTCTGCAGCATTTTGGTGCTTTCTCATGGCGTTAGGCTTCAGAGGTGGTAGAGGGGCAGCAGGCAGGGAAAGGACTTGGGAGTTTAGGATACACTAGAAAGGACCAGACCGGATTTTAGATTACCTTTTGGCTTTGACAGCCCCTCTGCTGGGCTCCATCCCCGTGATCTTACAGGATCTGAGGTGCCAAGCTTTAATTACCCTGATGGCAGCAAGTGATCGACCAACCCCACAAACGCTCTCCCAGGACTGAGAGTGAGCAAGAGCCCTTGCAGGAGCAGGACACACCACTTTCCTGAAGGACAGAGCCCAGCCACAGGTGCTGTGCAGCAAGGGAAGAGCTCCCAAGGGGGGCCAGAGCTGCACCCAGCTCTGCAGCAGCCTCCCAGCTACCCGTGTCCAGCCTCTGGCCACAACGCCTGTGCTGTGGGACAGCTCGCTCCAGGCATTTCCTGGGGCTCAGCCCATTTTGGCTGCAGGATCAGAGAAGGCACTGCTTAATGCCCAACTGAGGCACGCTGAGCCCCATCTGCCCAACTCCTGCAGGCCCCAGGTGGCTGCTGCCATCGGGTGAGAAGGCTGAGCTCCTCATTGAACATGTGGTGACAGGTGGCTCCTTCTATCCCTAAGGGAGGCGCATGCCCACACTCTCCTCATCTTTAGGAGAACAATGACAGCAGAGAGGGACAGGCCCAGCTCAGCACGTTACCAACAACTGACCTCTGGCTATCTCCATCCAGGCCTCCTTTTCTATCACTATCTTCTTCTGGGCGACTCCTTTCACCTGCCTGCTTATACACACCAGAAGGCTTCCACAGTGGAGCACTAAGCTGGAACAGGACAGTAAATCCCCTTTTGTGGTCCCATCTTTCTTACTGGGTTAAACACCAAGGCTGCCAGAGGAAAGGAGTGAGTCACACTGCAGATGCTTAAAGATTTATACCTCTGCAGAACCTCAGCCTCTCAGATAAAAGGCAGCTGTGGACAGAGACTGCACCATCGGCTTGGGAAGAAGCAGAAAGTGGCCATTTCTCCATGATGCTGCATTGCCTTCATCCTTATGCTGTGGAGAATGCCAGCCTCCACGCAGGGGTGCAAACTCCCACCACAGGGCTGACCTTTTTGGTTTTTTTTTTTCCCCTGCATGAAGATGCTGGCCCATGCACCACGCAGCTGTGCTTCAGGGCTGCCCAGCTCTGCTCGTTTTGTTGTCATGTAGGTGAGATGGGACAGTCTGTGCAGCCTGGCATGTCAGTTGAGGTGGGCCTAGGTCACACTCCTGCTGCTCCAGTGATGGAGGAGCCTTGTTCCCATCGTGATCCTGGAACCATAGGTCCTTCAGCTCCACTGGAGGTTCCTGCAACAACTGTCTGTGCAGAGATGTACAACTGCTTAAAAACCAGAAAGAGTCGCTGCACACAGAGCAGCTTTGCTAATGATGCTTGTCCAGATGCTGGAATTCATTAAAGAGTAAGCCAAAGAAAAAGCAGCCAAAAAAACCCCAACCCCAAACATTTTCCTTTGGCAGGAATGCAAACATCTCCTTTTCCAGACTGGGGAAGAACCCTGTCATTCAGCAAGAAGGAATCAATAGGCAATTCAGAGCAAAGTCTCTTCCAGCACCTTTGGCTGGATCCATCCAGCTCTTTCCTTGCCAGCTCTTAGCAGGGACCTCCTCAAGAAGAGCTTCTTCCCCCAGTGAGTGACCTACGCAGAGCCCTAATGCCAGCAGCCAAACAGATGCATCTGAATGATCTAATGTTCACACTGAATGATTTAATGTCTGACACTTTAAAGCAAAGTTTATATCAAAATAGCAAAAGCAATGCCAGCTCATTCATGCAAGTCTTGGCAGGCATAAGGGAGTAAGGATCACTCAGCAAATGCAGCGTAACATGCAAACAGGACACTGCTTGGGGTGGGGTAAAAGAGTGCTTATCAATCCTGTTCTGTCCCAGCAGATTCCAGCTGAACCAGAAGGGCTGCAGAGTTGGGGTCTGCAATTATGGGGACAGGGGGATGTGCTCCTACAGCTAGTGCAGGGGTCTTCATCCAAAACCTGACTAAACCAGAGAGGAACCTGCAACTCTGCGACAAACGGTCATATCCTTGTTAAAGCAGGATGTACCACAAAGACACTCTGCTGCCCAGAACTGACCGCTCTGTTGGACCTTGGCTGTGTCCACTGCAACACAAAGAAGGAGCAGTGTTCATGCTAAACACAGACATACCTGCTTAGATTGAAGGGAAATACACAGAAAATTTCAGAGTGCAATTCCAGAGCCCCAGGCACACATCCACTTGCTGCTTGTAGATGGGAGCAAAGCTCTTGGGGGGGACATGAGCATCAGTTCTGAAACAACAGAGGCACCAGAGTCTGTTCCTATTGCAGCAGGGCCAGCTCAGCTCCTTTGCCTTTGAGTAGAGAGGCAGCTGCTGGCTGCCTGTGTTCCAGAGAGCACAGGAGACGCAAGCTCCTGGCTCCCCTATGCCCAGAGCAGCCTTGTAAACGCTCCGATACACACGTAGTCATTCTCTGAGATGGCGTACATGCACAGACCCGAGTGTGGTCTGTAAGAACAAGCTGTTTGGAAATGTCATTCGGAAAAGCTGAGGTCAGACTGAAAAACAGTTTGCACTGAGGCTCAGAACATCATTAAGTTTAAGCAAATTTTCAATGGGAATACAAAAAAAACCCCAAGCCCCAGACACAAGGCACCTCATTAGCAAATTCCTCGTCTAGCAGAGAGCTGTATGAATAAGAATGCCTGGCAATGCTTGAAGCAAGCCAAAATATTCAGGCTAGATTCTTAAGAAAGCAAGGATTACAGGATCATACTGTGACTGAATGTTCCCTTTACACCCAGTCATTTTTCATGCTCATCAGCTCAACTTCAGCCACATTTGAGAGAACTGAAGATCTCAAAGGTACCGAACTCCAAGTTTCACTCTAGTGGGTGCATAGGTGAAATGCAGCCATTGACTGAAAGGTTGAGTTTCCCTTATTAGACACCAGAAAACCCATTCAGAGGGCAGAGGTTATGAATGCCTCAACACCAAGGCAAGCTTCATTGTCAGCTCATTTGCAACCAAAAGGCAAAGCTGTAAAAGGAAAACAAAAGCCACCCCAGAATGAAACAAGCTTTTTTAATTTTTTTTTTTTTTTTTTTAAAACTGTTCACCAACTACATGTTTCTTAAAACCAGCCAAATCCTTTTGGCTGAACTTCTCCATAGATAACTAAATCAATCCACTTGCAGCTTGAACAACCTGCAACATGAATTCAGCCCAGATGTTTATCATGTGTTTAAAGAAGTAGAAGTCTTCAAAAGAAACACACTTGGTTGCTTTGGTAACAGTTACTGTTACCAGTCCTGTTACACCTGCATTCATGAAGGGGATCTCAATAGTATTCTGTTAATTGCCTGCCCTCACATACCCAGCAGTGGCCTAGAGTTTCCACACAGAGCACTTTATAGAAATTATTGCTCTAGATGGACAGAGCTGAGAAGGAAGAACTCAGCTCAAGGTCATACAGCAAGTCAGGGACAGAGCTGAAAAAGAGAACGCAAGTGCCCCTGCATTCAGCTTACCTGCTCACGAAGAGGAAGACCACCACACTCCTGTTCTGTGTGTTGTGGCACACAAATCATCTGTTTTATTGCCACCAATAGGTGAAATGTTTTCCTGTGTCCCATGAGGAAGAAAAAGGAGATTGGAAGTTCTTGTGAAGAGTGTTGGGCTTCTCATCTGATGAGCTCACCTTTCAGTCCCAGGTATATGCAAGAAAGGACACACTGGTCCATCATTTAACATAACCACTGTCACCACAAACTACAGAAAAGCATGCTGCAAGCAGTGTGCTCTGAGCACATCGCGGTACCTTGGAACAACTGGTTGCCTCCCAGCTCCCCATGAGAAGGGCTCCAAACCAGCTCTCCCAGGAACATACTATTTTTCTCAATCTTTGCCAAGTCCTCACCACTGACTTTTCTACTGTTAATGTTTCCCTTGGAAGAAAACAAGACATTTTAAGATTTCATTTCCAAATAGACTATTTTACCACACAATTAGAAAATACAAGCTCTCTTTTCCACTTCGGGAAATATTTCTTTTGCAGATCATTGCTGCTTTGACACAAATATATTGTTGTTATACTAAATCAAAACCCAGTAAAGATGGTGACACAGCTCCAGCAAGAATTTTGCAGCTGCAGGGCAGCCAATCAATATTGCATTTCACTTCAGATGGGATTACCATTTATCTCTCAAAACCAATAAAATTTGACCTGTTCAGTGATTAAACCTGTATCTATGGCAACTTTCTGAAACCTCAGCAAATGTAAATATCCGTTGGCTCATTCAGGAAGAGTCTCTTAAAAGATGACATGAGTAAAATTCAACTTATGATCACCTTGCTGCTATTCTTCATGCTGAACTAGTTAGGGTTACAGAAAAAAAAAAGAGGTAGAAAAAAAAACAAATAAAAAGCAAAAGTGATGAGAATGCACCATTTGCAACATTCTCTCTATCTCTCAGCAAGTATCCATCACAGCAGAACAAGTACATTTTAAAGTACCTAAATGTTCAGGCTGGCACCTGGTACACTCTACTGAGCATGCAGCATATTAGAATATTCATGTGGACAACTTGACCATCTCCCTTTAAAAGAAAGGGATGTAATACATTAAAAAGTCCTATGTCTGTTAATATGCTCATTCTCAACTGCTGGAGTGAATCCCCCCTCTCCCCCATTTGTATGCAGAACAAATTTCTTAATAATGATACTCCATGCTGAAGAAAAGTGAACATGGAGTAACATAAATCATTGCACATAAATGCCTGATGAGTCCCTGAAAAGAAATTAAATGCAGACTAGTATTAGACAAGCTTGAATGATTTTTCAGTAAAACCCATTGGTTGTTTCACATCTATGGAAATAAGTGTGAAGGGTTCTCCTGGCTCATTCTGGTGGCAATGCAGATCAAGGCTGGGTGCAATATAGGTGTTCAGAACATAAATGATAGTTATACATTGCCATCGCAGTACCCCTCCATTTAGAGGGCTCAGCTGCACATTTCACTAGTCTCTTGAACCTTATCTTCTTATTACACTAAATCTGTATTAAACACAAAGAAAACAGACAGAACGTAACCGACATGACTCAATGCTCATGACTTGATTGTAGCTTGATTCTGCACTTAAAAGAACTCCTGACACTAGGGCTCACTGTCTCCTCTTGCTGGGAATTAACAGACCTGTAAAGCAACTCAGAATTATGCTGCAGTACAAGTAGTATTTAATTAGGATCTGTGTTAGCCATGACACTGCTAAGTAGGTAACCAGAAAATAAAACCAGAATTATTTAATCAAGTGAAGAAACAATAGTGTCTGTAAAATAATGAACGAGTCCAAGCACACCTTCCCTCACTTCCAGAGCATGAAGCTGGCTCATCTCCCATGAGGGCAGAGATGCCATCCCATAGACGGCCTGTTGTTACAGAAGCTCTTCTATCATCAGGACCAAAAGTGACTGGAGGAAAGCCAAGGTTAAAAGGAGACCAACAGAAATAAAACAGCAGCAGGAGAGCTGAAAGAAAATTGGCACATTTTAAAGCAAGCAACTGATTATGCAGGAAACCACACAGCCCACAGATCAGCCTTGGCAATAGCCAAAGGTCACCTCCGCTGCACACTGCTGTGCCCCAGGGGGTACTGCAGGTGCTGGAGAGCAGATAAAACATCAGTGCCTTCAGGGTATGCTTTAAGGTGAAAGAAAGCAGGATGTTCAGCCAGGGAAATGAAGCTAAGAATATGCTTTCTGAAGGCAGGTGAGGAAGAAATAAGGAGAGAAGCAGACAAATGGAAGTAAGAGATCACTAAGCGTTCATACCAAAATATCACAGGCAACGGATCTTCAATCCTCCTCATTAAGCCACTGAAAGAATGAAGTAGGAAGTCTTGGCCTTCTGCATTTTAGCTTAGCTGGTATGTGATTTACCTTACAGAAAATCTCTGTTTAAAGATATCCAGACCACCCCTTTTGTTATTTAAAAAAAAAAAAAAAAAAAAAAAAAAAAAAACCCAGAAACCAACAGTGACATTACAGCCAGTGGCACTATAGTCATCTTGAGGCTATGCAAGTCAGCATTATTTGAATTAACTATCAGCTTCTATATAGCTGTTAAACTTTGCAAATAAGCCCTTCTGTAGACATGGAGTTCAAGCCTGGATTAGGGGAGAATTTGCAATGCAAAACGTGATTATACTGCTAACTTTTTTTAAGCATAGAGCTCTACATCAAAAACAAAACCATGAGTGATAATGAAACAGGAGGTAGCAGTATAAAGTATATGAGCCAGATGCTTTGCATAAAGCCAGGACAATCAGAGCAGCAGAGAAAGATCCAGTTCACAGGGGATGTGATAGCAGCAGCCATAAACATGAATGAAAATAATTTAGAGGTAGCTTTGACAAACAGATGTATGTATTGACAGAAGAAGCAGTCTTGTAACTACATAGAATTATTTCTCTTGTATCTGTGTTGAAAAATCATCCTGACATCTTTACTGAGCTATTTCTCACCAAAATCCTCATTAAAAGGAAAGTCCCAGAAATTCCATTTTACTCCAACTAACGATACCACAGTTAGCTCCAATGGAAATTCTGGTATCAAACTACCCTTCACCATTCAACCTCCTAATTGAAATTTGTCATTCTAATAACCCCAGAGCACATCCAGCAGTTTCAGTATCAACTGCTATAATTTTGAGGCTGACTTAAGGAGCATGGCATGGAAATATGAGAGCTCAATTTTAAATTGGCTAAAATAAAGTTTATTTTACTGTTACAATATATAATCTCTTATCAACACAACTCACAAAGTGTTTACAAAATAATCTCATTTTCTGCTGCATTTTAAACACTACTTTTATCAAACTTTAAAGGTAAAATAGGAATTTGTAGCTAGAAATGTTTTTGTTACATTTTTTAAAAGCATCACAAGAATTACTTCAAACAAGACATTTTTTCTTCCCCCTATGTTGTCATCTTCACAGAAAAAACTAAACATATATTGTAAAGACCTGAGGAAGGATTCATGAAAGCTTTCTTTAGACAAAGGATGCCAGTCCTCTTAGGCTGACAGTGAGCAAGTGCATTTGAGCTAACTTAGGTGCTCTGAAACGCCTTACAAAGGAATCTCCTCCCTTTCCCTGCACTGACTATAGGGAAGGGAGGGAGCCTGGTGCATAACCGTAGCTTTCATGAATCCCTAACGTGATGAACTAGTATGCAGCAAGACCATGACACACAAAGCTCTGGTCCTTAGTGCTGCGCAAGAAACCATGGAAATCTTAAACAGAACAAAATTTGAAGTATTACAGTTGTCACAAAACCTATTATTTTAACATGTTAAAATTAAAGTTACCTAATGTCCTCTGTGAATCTGGTAGTAACAGGCAAGTATTACATTACTCAACCTTGGTGTCCACTACAATGCAGTAATACACATTAGAAAGAGTGGAAAAAGCTACCATTTTCACAGCTGCTAGAAAGATATGTGCTAAAGTGAAAGGATTTACGCTCCTGCCAGTCAAATCAGTTGACAGATTTTACAGGACAGCAGAATCAGGCTGACTGATTATTTTACATACAGCAAGCACGTAGAAAGAGGTGCTACTTTTTTTTTTTTCATGCATAGTTTAACCAGCTTACGGCCAGCTCATCTCCATTAAGACTAGAGATGCACAATCCACCATTTGGTATAAGCCAAACTACCAGCAAATATATTTCCAGTGCAAACAAAATTGTCTTTCTTCAAGAAAAACAACTAAATTTAATGCTACTTCTCAAAAATCAATGCTTACGATGCATCATTTTCTACCTATTTTGGTCTGCGTTTCTGAAGTTCCCTTCTCCCTAAATCACATCCAAAGACAGATGATCACAGAACACTTTTTTTTTTTAGGCAGATGACTGTCTCCTCCCCAGAATACTGCCCACTGAAGATCATCCCTGAGAGCACTGTTCTAGCTAGACACTTAGAAAGCAAGCAATATCTCATAGCTTAGAAGAAGAAAAGGCTGTTCACCCCATGAGATCTTGTGGTTTTAGAAAATAAAAAAATGCAGCTACTGTTGAGCATTTAAATTCCCTGAGTGAAGTCTGAAGACAGTAATTTGTAACACAAAGCATAGCAACATCTATAGCTGTACTTACAGAAGCTGTAATTTTTTACAGTGGTAAAAGTCAGACATTAAATTACAAGCATACAGCAGTTAGTGGTGGTTCCTTTTACTTGCTTCCTGTCACAGGAAATATGATGGCCTTCTTTGGTGAAAAACAGCAGTGAAGAAGCTTGATGACTTCGGATTCTTTTGCCTTCTGATATTCTAGCAATTTTTAAGTTACAGTTAGTGGAGATACTACCAGGCCATAGTGCAGTACAAGCAAACCATCCTAGAGAGAAGAGAAAGAAACTGTACCATCATACTGCTTCACCTTCTCCATGAGGCATTTCCGTCACCATCTGGTATGACGGTCACTGCATGGCAGAACCTCAGCTTCAATCTCACTCACCATTTTATACCATGACCCTTCCATGTGGCGCATGCAAGTTTTGAAATATCAAGGCAAATAATTACATTCCCTTCTCCTCTTTGGCGACGGAGAAGGGTGTTAAAAAAAGTTAAATCTGGTACTTTGCTTTTAATTTAAAGTTATAATGGAATTATATCATCTTCATACAATAGGCTCATTTACAACTCATGCTGCTTCCCCCGTGATACTGTGGGGCAGAAAGAAAACAAGTAATCAATTAAGTAGTTCTAGAAGGTGCTGCCAAAAGCTGTACTAGAAGAGCCCAGACTACTACTACACATTTATTAAGTAATGAATACAAGGGATTAAAAAAAATATTAAAAACCCCTAGTTTATTAAGTCATGTTTCTCCTCTTCTGAGACTGCTCCACATAATAAAAAAAAACCTTTCACCTGTGAAACAGGACACTTCCTGAATCATTAGTCTTACTTATGTTACTGAACTCACACACAGCTGGTGAAAGGCCTAGCACTTAGTGTGCTTCCACCATTGATCCACTGGGAACCTGACTTGTTACATTATACCTATTTATATGGACAGGCTTTAATAAAAGTTTTCTTTTGAAGAGAGAACTACATTAATCACAACTGACATGCTAGAACTTCTACCATATTTTGCTTCTGGTGTTTTTGTCTATTAACATACAGGACTAAGACAACATATGTTCCAGAGAAGTTACGCACTTCTGTGTGAGGGGGTATACCAGCAAAAAAAAAAAAAAATCTTTAATTAAAAAGTTAATTTAAAAAAATATTAACAAGACTGTCGCCACTTTACAGATGCTGTACTATAATACAGCAACAGTACAAAGTCCTATATTAGTCTAAACACAGTGTTTTGAAAGAACTTTTTTTTTTAAACAATAATTTGTTATCTATGTAAAAATGATTTTGACTGGTTGGTGTAGCCTCAACTACTCATACAAAAAAATCTCTTTGAGCCATTTTGCATCGGAGAAAATTGATCTCAAAAAGACTCAAGAGGACAGAATGTGCTTTTCCACGCCTGCATGACATGTTCTTTTGCTTCCCTTAGGAATTCTTTTCAGACAGTGCCTATCGACACCTCTATGTTCTGTCTGGAAGATGACCTCTTATTAGAAAAATAGCCTTGTTTTGCCTCTAGTGCCACAAAACTCTTTCAGCAGAAAACCACCCTAACTGCTGCTGTGTGTAACTATTTTACTCTCTCTTCTACCAGTAGCTTCTTTAACTTCCTCTGGCAGCTAAATGGTGCCACTGGAAACAAAGCTACTGTTCTGGGGAAAAAAAGTACAGCATGTTATTTTCAAGGGGAAAAAAGTAGAAGAGCTATTGGGAGTTTTCAAATGTGATGGTGAGAGAAAACAGATTCATAACAAAGGAGAACAGATCTGCAACAGCAATACTTTGATCAATTTAGCCAATATGCTCATTTAACAAGACCTGAAACCTGGCTTCTGGCTATAAATTTTGTCATTTTTATAAAGAGATTAATATTCTAAGTCAGGAAAAGAAGGCACCAAAAAAGGAGCCAATTAAAAAAAATAAAAATTAAATTGTAAGGTCCTAAGAATGGCCATACCAGGGCAGACTAAAAGGCTACCTAGCCCCATGGTGAAAGCCTAGATAAAAATACATGAAAAAGGCAAGTATTCTACCTCCCTATATAACTTGCCAATTTCAGAAGCCTCTCTCAGGAAGTTCCTGAGCCTTAAGTCAAAGTAGCATTGTATCAATGTCTTCTGATGACTTTTCTTCTATGAACTTGGTCTGTCACTTTTGACTCTACAAACTTTTGGCATCCGCAAGTCAAATCTAAGGGAAATCAAATCCAAATGTCAGTCGTAAGGTCAAGACTGAAGATCTGAAAAAAGGGATTAAAATGCAAGCACTGACAAAAGTGGATCAAAGTATTCTTTTATAAGAACCATCAAAACCAACCAGAAGGGTCATACTGGAAAAGAGGGACAACACGTTAAAACACCTATAGAAGACACTACGTTCAGGCTATAGGAAATACATGTTCCCTAGCTCTACAGCTACAGGTGATACAAACAGCTTCACAGCAACAGCAAATATGCTCTGTGAGTCTCATGCAAATTTACTTTTGTTTAAAGGATGCCTACAATGACAAATGAGTGCCTAGTGTAGGGTAGATGCCAATCAACCTTAACTTCAGTGGACAGAAATGAAAAAAAAAGCCCTATTTTATTCCTGTATTACTAGTGACAGCTCACTAACTTTCCTTCATCTTCTCATCCTGCTAATAACCAGAAATCCATTGCTAAGTCCTAAAAGGATACAGGAGGAGACAGAAGCTTTAACTCACTTACTCAGTGCCTAGCATTAAGTGGGATGACTGCGTTGCAATATGAAGATAGAATCCTGATTGTCCTCACTTCGTGTTAGGTAGAACAGCTATTATGAAGTTACTTATGAACCTCTTGGCAAATAGTATGTTGTTAAACCTTCACAAAGACATACTTAGTCCTTGTGCCTGTTAGCTACCTCAACAGAGAAAATAAGACACATGCAAGCTTCCTTTTTTGGAGAAGTGCGGGCAAAACCAGTTTCTCCTCTATGACAGAGTTTCTTAAAGGAAATATTTATACAAGCACAATATGCTACAATGTATTTTTTGATGAATGAGTCTTCAAATGGTATATCTGGCAGTAGGACATTTAAAGAAATTATCTGTCTACACAGGAAATAACCCTGTTAAACCAAAGGCCAAACCCACTGCAATTTCTTCCGTACAAACAGAAGCTGAGAATTAACCCAGTACTGGCACTGCTTACTCTGTAATTATTCACTCTTTCAGTATTACACATTTTTATATATGTTCAGCTGCTTTCTCTAGATACTGTTCTTAAAAGGAAATCCAAACAGAGAATGAGCTCTCACTGCTTATCACAAATCTCAAATCAGGCTAACTCAGACATGCTCAAAAGAAAAGCAAAACTGTCCAGTGTTCTTTGCCACACATCTGTGAACCTGACCTAAAAAAATTGAAAGGATCCCACCTGTTACACCCAACTATAAACTTTAGAGCAGAACTGACAGACGAAAACGTCATAGTATATATACCTTCTGATGTTGTAAGAGCAGCAGCAACAAAAATTGCCCTGTGTTCCAAATTCAATATCCCCACAGCAAAGAGTAAAATACTTCCATGGCAGATGTACGCTAGAGGGTCATAGTAATTAAATTAGATCACAGCTCTTACTGCCTAGCTCAGGAGACCAAAAAAATACAATAGCATTGGGTTACAAAAAGGTGAGAGTAACAAAAAGACCATTATAATCTGCAAGACTTCTGTGCCAAGGACATAAAGGAAGCTACTCTTTTTAGCTTTTCCCATGTGTGAGCTCATTATATCTATCAGTGGTGCAGATCTCTGAGAAGGCCAGTTTCACACAAGTGAAAATAACTAGCAGCTTGGATCATGTTGCATTTGTGCAGCAAAGGGGAGGAAGGGAATACAGGGAAGAATTATATTCCCATATAGTTAACGAAAAGCTTCCTTCCTCAGCTACTTGATGAAACTCTTAATTACAGGCAGATCTCAATGGTAACAAAATTGAGCCTTTTAAAAATTTCTGTCAGTGTCTTTGATCTTTCCTTGCAGTAAGTTCCACAAGTTTTACACTGTTTTAAAAATTAAGCAAAAGTTGCTTCTGTTAATGTAAATTCTTTGCAGCAATTTGTTTTTTTTTTTCCCCAGAGCTAAAAATCCTATTTCCAGCTAATTAGAAAGATTCGACCAACCACCCAATTTCAGAAATGTTAAAACATCTTGAGATCTACACGATTAAACAAGATTTATTCCCAATTTTTTTTAGCCTTCTATTAACTACTCAGAAACTAACATGTTAATTGTTTACATTCAACCACTAAAATTAGTTGCCTATTCACTCCAATTAAAACAACCCAAACAGGTTACTATGGATCCAGTATCAGGAATATTTATTTTACCATCAGATCACACTTGATCTTCCCACACTTGTTGGAAAGGCACACAGTTATTCAGAACAGCTAAAATCCTGCTAGCCTGCACCTATAGGAGACTTCAATTTACTGAGCCTCTAACATATCACTACACATTGTTACTCAGCAGGAAAAAAACCCCTAACACCCCAAATCTTCACAAAACAATCTTGAGCATTTAAGAACCATTCTAGAGGAGTAAAAGCCCTTAAAAAAAAAAAAAAATCACAGTGATTATGGTCCAGAAAAATAAATCACACACAACATGTTATGCTGCACTGCATTGGAAGAAACTTCCAATGTAAATGCTGCCAAAGAATGCATGTTAAAATTAATGCCTTTGGCAGAGAAACTTATCTGCATTTTTAAAGTCACTTTTCTCAGCAAAAAGAAAATTACTAACATGCATGAACTTGCAAGTGGAAAATGCAATTAGAAAAGCAGTTATTTTTCTTCTCTAACGGTGACTGTACTCATCTAGATAAAACCCCAATGTTTATTCCTTTAAATGACTTTGTATTGCATAAGTAGCTACTGAAGCTATTTTCTTAGCATGAAGCATCTACAATGAACCTCAGAAACTGGTAAATGACAACACCAGTTTTGAAGAGTGTTTCAGCATCCTAGTGAGAGCTGTTCAGGGCATTCCAAGCTCCAACACTGCTTTGGAAACACTGGAAGGTTATGATGGCACAAGATACCCTTGGAGCTTAATGCAAAATCCATCAAATGTTCCTCTGTAGTTGTAGTCTCACTGGGCTGGGACAATCATGCCCCTCATTGAATTTCAGATCTTGGTGAAAAAGAAAAACCCTTACCATTTTTAGACTTGACCTATCCATTTTTTTTTTCTGGATAATTATCTATCTAAAAACATTTTCCAAGGTTTTTTAATCCTAGGAATGCATCCTCTTGATTTCTGAAAAATAATGTAATGTGAGACTATAAAACATGAAAATGTCACAATTATTTCAATGTCAAAAAAGAAGCAACTGTGGTTTATTTGCAACATTCCTACTGTAACTATTTGGCGTCCTAAGAGGTTTCGTAACGAAATGAAGAAAAATAAGGGTGAACCTGATCTTTCAAATTTCCTGGCAAAAGTGACTATGAAAGCACAAGACTTCAAAAAAAGCAAAGATCTTTTTCCGTTTGCCCAATAGAGCAGGCTTGCAAGAATTCATCATTAGCATACTGATTTTGTAATAATGAGACTTGAAACGTCACTGGAGAACGTATCCCAAGACAACTGTTCTCTTTGTGGAGCTGCTGACTGGTACTTAGCCACTAAACATCAATCAGGGAGACCCAATTCTGACAAGAAATGAAAGACACTAAACTTCAGCTAGGCAGATCCATGTCTGACAAGAAATGAAATTGATGCAGTTTTCCTTAAAGTGCTTCCCCAAAAGTATTTTTCATACATGAAAAGCTTTTGTGCTAAGATGAAGTCTAAAAGCATGTACATTTGACTATACCCCTGGACTGAGAAATAAATCATCCCCCTGCTATTTACTGAAGCTTTTAGTAGAGGGCACTTCCATCACTATGTGTTGATTGCTATATTTACTTACAAAGAACTCATTACACTAGAAGCAAGTTTGTTACCAGTGCCAGCTTCCTCCTGGTTTCTATCCCCTGCTCCCCAAAGCAGGTTAGGTTACATTTTAATTTTTTCTTCATATTATTATATGAACAGCTACAGCATCAAGTATGGCATTTATTCCCTTTGACTGCAGAAACTGAGGTACACACCACAAGCCTCAAAGATTTTTAATGCCTGCCAACACTAGCACGAGCTACAGAAGTGTGCCCTGACTCTGGGATCCCTCCTAATTATGCAAATCAGGTACAGGTGATGCAATGTCCAAGATACCTCAAAATCTGCTTTGAACTTCTTGCCCCTGACACAGAAGCCCTCTTGTAGCATGAAAGGGCTCAGCAGGAAATTTAAATGTAACAGATTGTGCATGTGTGCACAAACAAGTCAAGGAACTGAATTTGCTACTATTTTAGCCCTTCTGCCATCTGCTTAGATCACTTTTCCAAGTAAAATTCCAATCTAAATCCTATTTCTTCCCACTGTATTAGATTAAACATTAACTTCTCAGACTTCCAAGTTTAGATTAATACACAGTTCACCATACATCGCAATTTTACATCTATAGCTTACTATTCACTAGGCACACTACTACATTGTTTTTGCTGCACTTCTAAAATGGTGTGACCCTTCCCATTATAAAGATGCCTGAAAAGATTCCCAAGGGAATAAAAAAATGCTTTCTTATTTGCAGAGTCAGTAGCACTTAAGACAGTAAGTTATCAACAAGAAATAGTTGGCTAAACACTCATGCTGTGACCAGGACCGGTATAATATGCATCAAGCATGTTAACTGCATTCATTACTTTGTATCTTTGGTTTGTGCTTTTATGAGCAAGTTTATTCCCCTAACCAAGTCACAAGGCTAGCCTTATTTGGGATGCTTCAGTCCTTTCATTTCCTGCAGAGATGCTATCACCAGGGAGGAAAACAAGGAATGTTAATTGAAAGAAAAGCTGGTATAATTTATCACTGATAAGATAGCAACTTGTTTTGGAATAGAAAAAAAAAACCACGAAACCCTCATATCCTGAGCATCATCAAACCATCAAGAACGCTCTTAGCACATGGTACACTTCTCAACTCTATTTACACTATACAAAACATTTTGTATAAGCTGGAGAGATTTTCTAAGTGACTTCTTCAGACAAGTTGGTGCTACCTAGTAGCTTCAGAAAGAAGTCTTCTATTCTAAAATAGAAAACCTGGAACAAAGGCCCAGCTGCCACGCATACCTGTACTGCACTCTCTCCTATGGCTTGACGAATTTCCCTCAGTGTCTGGTAGTGTTCTAGCAGGTGATCACCACATATTATGTCCACCTGTGAAAGAATACAAACATGGTCAAGTTCAACCTACCTTTGGACTAGCAAAACAGTATCTAAGTCCTTTAAATTTGATTAGAAGAATTCAATTCTAGCACGTAAGACCATCTTTGTTGTCCAAATGGATTTAGCATGCAAAGCACTATTGCACTGGCCTAATGCCTCCCACCCCACACCCCTGACCGGGGCCTGACTTCTGGAATAGAGAGGACAGTTTATTGTTTCACTCTGTTTGGCACATTCACTGAAAAAAAGCTGTTTAGTAATAGTTGTGATACATTTAATGGAAATTTAGCTAATGTATTAAAATGATCCCACAAACATCTAGACTCATTCATCAGTTGCAAAAGAGGGCAAGTTGCTGTCAGTGCCACTGATGGAAAGTGAGCCATTGCTATCCTCATTCTTACCTTGAGTGAGAAAACATGAATAAGTCTGCTTAATATGACTGGAAGAAGTGTTTTAATAGAAAAGAACAGTTCACTGTATGCCACTGTCAGCAATTATGTCACACAGTCCTCCTTCAAAATGCAATCAGTACTTCTGTGATGCAAGTGAAGGGCATACTCAGCAATTCTAAGCAATGTCCTCTACTGCAGCTAAACTATGTCAATGATGTCTGCAATTCCAGAGGAGGCACTTTTGTTAAGTAACTGCCCACAAAAACAGTGATTTGGGGAAAATAAAGAAACCATAATGAGGTATTCTGAATCCCTTGCCTTGACTATTATGAAAAATAAGCTTCTTTGTAAAGTTACTACAAATTTACTGCACATAATGTAAATTCAGTCTCTAACATTTCAAATTAGAGCAGCTAACACAGCACTGTTTCACTCTCTACTGCAGCTTGGTTACACTTTCCTTATGAGCAATTTCTAGATATGGAAATGAGGGCTCTCATCTGTGAATTACAATGATGAAACCTCAAAATTAAAGTTAAGAGCATTAACAATGAGCTTTCTGCAAGGAAAACATCTAAGCTCTGCCACTGCAGTAGTCAGGGAGCATACTGCAATATCATTACGTATTCTCTTATATGGCCACTTTACACTACAAAATGCACTCTGTGCTTCAGCTATTCAATTCCCCTGGATTTATGCTCTTCTGCATGCTGACCCACTATCTCTCTTGTTCTTCATGAAAACATTTAGGAAGATTTATGCCTCATGCTGGCAGACCACCTTGTTCTGAGAATTGGGAACACAGGAATTCTACTCCTTAGAGGCTCAAAAAGGGCTAATTTAATTCACCATCTGTAGAGTATGAGAACGATCTAGAATACTCCATTCATGTTAGGTTGAATCTTAATGTGTGGAAGATGTAAACTCCTTAGTATTACTTCTGCTTTTAGCTTCTAGAAGGAAATGAGCAAGTAAAAACTAATCTGGATGTAACATTAAATATTGATTAGATATTGACCCATATATACACACACGTATGTCTTTAACATCAACATTTGATGTATTTAACACAGAACCTGAAAGAAATATATTTCTCCTTCTTTTTGAAAGCTGGTTACAGTTATTTCTGGTGTTTCCCATGCATTCTAGCCTCTAAAGTTATTACCGCAGGAAGATAGATATGTCTGTTTTGCTTTCCGGCGATATATGAGTTTAATTACATCTGCTTTATAGGCTTACTATTATAATTTTTATACCATAAGGCACTGAAAACTCAATCCCATTCCCAATGAAACATATATACATACACATTTTATATATTCTACAGAAGTAGAAAATGTAATCTGTTTGCCCAATACAGGATGCAAACAGATATAGTGACAACTGGTGACAATCTTTCAAAACAGAATCAGAATGCTTGCCTGAAAATATTCTACTGTTGATCCTGCTGCTCCAGTTTCAAATGGTAGTCATTAAAGATCCAGTGTCTTCTAATAAATTGAGAAGAGTATTTCACATTTACTGTGTTAAGAGTGCTCTGAATACCAAATGCCTAATCTCCTTATTCCAGCACCAAAGCCTGAATTTCTGCCTGCTAATTGTTATGCTAGGATTCATTCTATAAGGACAAGAGAATAAAACATACAATGAAAAAAATCCCAGTTCAGTGTGAAAATCAGTTGCAGAATGTCTCTCTCAGGAATCCTTGTGCCATGCAGGAATTAATATATTCCATTACAAAAAGAGACACTAGCAACACAAATGCTATGAATTTACTGCAATTTTAACTGCCTAGTAAAATTGAAGCCAGCTAGTACTGATAGCTAGTGAGACAGCAGTAAATATAGTTTGACCTTTTGCTGAAAGGAAACATGAAGGTGTAGCTGCTGAATACTCACTCAGTCACTTCTGTTAAAATTTTTACTGAAATAAAGTATCCCTTCCATCATGCTATTTATTTTCTTTAGGTGGCATGTTTGCTATTAGAGCTATTTCTCTAAAAGCCACAATAACAGACAATTATAAATTAACACTCACCAAGTAAGACAGAGATAAAAATGGAAAACTTTCATGTAAGGGACATTCCACTTAAGATTCAACGCAAGGCGGAATTTGGCCCAGAAAGCAGTAGACCTCAATCAATAGTTTCTATGCCAACCCATACTATCCAGGGAAGGACAAGGAAAACACAAAGTTTTAGAGATTGACATGAGTATTTGGGCTAGTTATTCAAAAAGCTTGCAAAGCTTTCCACTTCCTCTATCTGCTATTTACTTTTCAAAGGTACCATATACTGCTATTCCAGGGCCTAAGACTGGCATAAAGAAATTATATTAACAACTACGCTGTATGAGCACAGACTTTCTTCCAATCTTTGCCCAGGCTGCAGTTTATGTACACACACTTTCAGGAACACACATCTGATTATGGAACATTTCCATTCCATAAGCTACATTAATGCATTCAGACCAGCTGAGCTGCGAGTCTTTCAGCAGTCTCTCTTGTCCTTACAGAATGAAAGGCAAGAACAGATAATGCTGCTGCAGGATGACCTCAAAGAAAATAACATTTTAAAGAAAACTGCTCATTTTCTCCCCACTCTTCAGCAGAATACTAACTATACAGCTGTGCATCAGATGTTGAAGCCAAGTACCTAAAGGATTCCAAACACCATAGCCCGTATTTAGCTCTAATTAAATGTTACCTACTTAGCTATTACTAGCAATTCCAGTTGCTCAGAAATTATTTTCACAATCCCCCCAACAAATTCCAGCAAGAATATTCAAGAGAGACCTTGTAAGTAGAAATTTAAACACATACAGAAAATTAATCATTGCCCAAAGCATAGAGATCAAAACAAAGCACCAGAAAGAGTAAACTACAGTCAGTCAGCTTGTCCTGGTTTCAGCTGGGATAGAGTTAACTGTCTTCCTAGTAGCTGGTACGGTGCTGTGTTTTGAGTTCAGTATGAGAAGAATGTTGCTAACACTGATGTTTTCAGTTGTTGCTAAGTAGTGTTTAGACTAAAGTAAAGGATTTTTCAGCTTCTCATGCCCAGCCAGCGAGAAAGCTGGAGGGGCACAAGAAGTTGGCACAGGACACAGCCAGGGCACCTGACCCAAACTGGCCAACGGGGTATTCCATACCATGTGACATCACATTTAGTATAGGAACTGGGAAGTGGGGGCGGGGAATTGCCGCTAGGGGACTAGCTGGGTGTTGGTCAGCAGGTGGTGAGCAATTGCACTGGGCATCATTTGTACATTCCAATCCTTTTATTACTACTGTTGTCATTTTATTAGTGTTATCATTATTAGTTTCTTCTTTTCTGTTCTATTAAACCATTCTTATCTCAACCCACGAGTTTTACTTCTTTTCCCGATTTTCTCCCCCATGCCACTGGGTGGGGGGGAGTGAGTGAGCGGCTATGTGGTGCTTAGTTGCTTGCTGGGGTTAAACCACGACACAGCTCAAATGGTAGATAAAAATAAACCAAGCCTTAACCTTTCAGATAAACTAGGAAATTTGAATCATAATCCATTTGCACAATCAAATACAGAAGTCTGAAAATAATTTGAGGCCTCAGACTAGGAAAAAAGAACAAAGGCAGTGGCTTCAAAACTGCTTTTTAGACTTGTATATATACTGTCACAGGAGTCGGCTTATTTCACATTTTCATTAACCTCAATCCAATCCACTTGTGCAGGTCAATGAAACAGGGCAAATATTAGCTAATATTCCACAACAACAAATTAAGTCAAAGAGGTCCAAGTACAGTCAGTAGTTCAGGAGAATGGGTAACATACTTTCTATCACTTGGTCACTGAATCAGCTCTAACCGTGAACAAGTAAAACATTCTCAAATAACACTTTTGCAGACTGTCAAATTAAGATGATATTCAGTAGGAACTGATTGCATTCATAAAATAACCACACCTAGCATCCTTACTAGAAGTTTCAACAATGAAATCAAGAATGTAATTGAAATACTGAGGAGAGAAAGGAGGAAAGACTCTGTGCCCTCCTTACAGTCAAATCTTTTCAATCCCAGGTAAGGCACAATTAAACACTGTGGCAGTAAGTTTTCTGTAGATAAGTGTGGGGGAAAAATACTGTGAATGCAATGCATTTTAGCTCAATAGGGCCTGAAACGCCTGTTTCTGAAAGAAATTTCCTAGCTTCCCAAGGGAATCTAGTCCTTGGACTTTAGTCCCAAGCTGAGTGCACCAAACTCATGACATCTTATATAAAAATTGATTATTTTAGGTAATGAAGAACTGGAGAGAGTTAGAAATCAAGACTAAAGAAGTAATATTAAAAAGAGAAGCTTGTTGTCCTAAGCTAGTATCTATTTCTTCTTTAACATACTTTGGGGAAACCTACAGGAAATTAACCACTGCAGTCCTCAACTTTCTTTCAAATTTCTACAGCAAACTGAAAAAACAGCCAAGCACTCTCTACATTTATACTCTTTGCACATATGATTTGCAACCTATTGCCCTAAATTCTTCTGCCTGTGCTAATTTATATTCAGGTTCTCCTTAATTTTGTTTTACAGTTTCTGCTTTATTAGCCATCCTGGGAAGTTGGAGTAAGACATGATTCATTAAGCTTCATCGTCTTCAATGACATATCTGACATATCTTTTGCTTTCTGCATGTTTACCAACAAACCATCAGCTTCAGTTCTGCATAGTACAATGAGAAGATGAGAGCTCAGTACATATACTCCTTTAATCCTAAGTCCCATAAGACAAAGAAATGATCACAGGATAGGAAAAATAATTCCTGCTTAATTTCCCTAATCCTTTAAAAACAATCCTGAACATCTTCAAGAAATCAGTCATGATTTGTGGCATGAAAATTGATTACAGGTTCCCAGTGACCAAAAAAATACTTGCTGAAAAAAACCAATGGGTGCAGATCAGTTAAGAGGGGAAAAAAAGGCAGCCAAAAGATCTGACTGTAGAAGAGAGCAGATTTAACGTTTCCTCCAGACAGGCATGGCTTGCACAGAAGAGACCAAGAGATTAAAACTAGCCAATGATTGTGCCTTACTCCAAAATGGCAAACTGGATACTAGCAGAGATAAAAGTTACTGGGTCAGCATCAAGCAACATCTTGAGAAAGGAAGTCTACGAAATCTTCAGCTTTTGAGACACAGTAACATTTACCAACAGTGGATCATACTGTGTCTAGTGAAGTCCAAGCAGGAAGTAACTCATCAGGGAAAAATTCTCAAGTTATGTCTATTAGATGATCTCAAGATTGCAAAACCTGAAAGACATCTAACACACAGGCCTAGCTTGATTTTGAAAGATGGGTAACTTTCCATTATGTTCTATTATATTAAGTTTCCATTATGGATGCTCAATGTTCCTCAAAATTGAGATTCTGATGTACTACTTAAGAAAACCCAAACAAACAAAACAATTAATTCCCCTCAAATAAACAACAACTCAATTAATGCAAGAAGTTTCTCTAGCCCAATTTTGAGGATACTTGTACTTGATAGAGAGTATTAAGTCACCACCATCTGAAAGCTACAAAGACTCTCATTGAGAAAACCAGCAAATGAAAATACATTACTTCCTCAGAATGATGAATAGTTTATATCTGATTTGCTTTGTCACCACTGAAAAGGTAAGTGGCATGAATAAGTACTCACTACTGAGGCACACAGTCATGCTGTATTGTCTCAGACAGTTACTGCTGTATGATAACACAGCCTTAACTCCAAAGCCAGCACTTGAGTTCCACCATTTGCCTATTCACATCCGTATCAGCTTGATTTACCAGTAATTGACAGCTTTAAGAATCGTTCACACATTACAGAACTCCTGCACCTTCTCAGCTGAATGGTTGCTGAAATACATTGAAGAACTGAAAACTGGTTTTGACACGCAATTCCTATCAACATGGTTGAGAAAGATGAAGTTACCATATTCTGCTCCTTTGAATTCTTATTTGGAGGCACAGGCCTACATTTGCATTCATACCTTTCAACACATCCATCCACAGTACCATTCTTAGCCCTTGTTTGCTCCTTCAACATTCAGTTAAATTTTACTGTTACTCGGCTCCTACCTGTCTCTGCCTTCATATCCTCCCACACTCACACACCTTCCTGTCTATATACTCAGTTTTATCTTTGAAACAGCGGGATCTTTTGGTTTTGAATTTCATCTACTGAAATCTTACGTAGCACTTTAGAAACTTTATACAAATAATAAAGTATTATAATGAAAATTTACACGTTGCAAATGAGTTGGGAGAGTCGTTCCTTGTGGATCACAACATTTCAAACATTTTATTTTTTAATCCTTACTGCATTAAAAAAAACTAACATTACTTCTAGACCCTAATGAACAATGGAAATGTTCTCTCTGAAGTGCAGGCATCACATTCATACAGTGAACTTTTAAGTGCCACTACAAGTGGCATACCTGACAAGTAGGGTCCAGATCCATTTTTCTTCTGAGGAATTTCTCCACATGTCCAATTGTTGCCTCCCCTGAAACACGCACAAACTTCTTTTCCAAAGGCTGCAAAGAATAAATGTAAGATATTAAGACAATGTACATTTTCAGCCATCATCTCTTGTAAACCCCAAACCCAATAACACAAGGAGACAGCTTAAATTTTTGGACCCTTTTCTGATCTACTTCCAGATTACCTCATAGGGAAAGGACTAAACATGTATTAAGACTCCAACTTCAAACTTTCAGCTGTTTAAAACAACATTTAAAAATAACCAGCTACTGACTTCAGTCCTATTTCACTATTGAAGTACCAGAGTTCCTTAAGTTTTCCCCAAATCAGGCTTGCGTACCAAACATGATTCAGATAATTAAACCATGTCATTTTATAATGCAAGGAGCTTAAGTCCTTTAGCATTCTAGAAGTATTATGGCTTGGGCTGCAATCAACTTAATAGTCCATGAAATTCCAGAATCAATTAAAATATACTACTATGCAGAACACAAGGGCAAGACTGGTCTGAAATCTTTTTGTATAATTTCTAAATACTTTCACAGCAAGGACTGCAACAACAAGACATTTGTTACGCCAGCCTCAAAAATTTTAATGGGTTTCTCTTCTACAGATAAAATTTTAAACAGCTGACTGGTGATATGGGCAGCTAAGCGAAGAGGCACAAAGGCAGAGCAGATGACTGCATTCAGTGTGATAAATGGATTACCTTTTGTGTCAATTAATTGGATTTTTATGCTGACTTCTGAACAGCTGTGATTCACTATCCAGGTTCATCATATTCCTTCAATTTGAAAGAAGGGTCAGAGGGTCATGGACTGCCCTTGAATTCAATCATGAATTTAAATATGCATCCATGATAACTGTGGTTTTGGAACAATAGTTTGATTTATTCAGGTACCAGAGCTAGAAATGACAGTCAGACCTGATCTAGGGAACCATGCTGCTGCAAGCTCGATGATGCTGAATTTATGCTTGCTGCATGTATAAATCACAGTTTATGGCAACAGACCTTGTAACCTGTTCTCTCCCCACCATCCCCACTTAAAAAAAAAAAAAAAAAAAGGTTGAAACCCCTTCATATATGAAGTTCAACATCCAGTTCAGAAAAATAAGACAGAAAACCAAGTAACTGCAGACAGAGTAATGCTAAAAATGGATCAGAGTACGTTTTCTGAGAGGTGGACATGAAAGGGGATTCTGAAGGTTGATGAGTAAACCTCTTGGTCATGAAGCGGAATAAAAAAAGCATGAAGATATAAAGTATAGTGAAGAAAATAAGGATAGAAAGGAAGAAGAGAGAGAGTGAAGCAGGGGGTTAACATACAGCAAGGAATTTGAAAATGCTGTAGAAAAATACCAGTTAAAAGATGTGGTGTTTCTTAAAACTCACATAGATGATACAGAAGTCTAAATATGCACATAAGCTGAGTGGCACTTTAGTCTATGGATAGTAGGATTATTTACAGCATAGAACTGTTCACTGAGTAATGGTGGGCAGCCTTTCATCTTCAACATCCTCAGAACGCTAGAGTTAAAGTGAGCAGGAATATTTATGGTTTAAAAGGGGGGACCCCCCCCGCCAACACACACAAAAAAACCCTTTCCTGAATCACAAACACTCCTTAACGATGTTTGAGCCAAGTATCTTTTTTAAAAGGCAAAACTATTTGCACTGGAATGGCATGTTTCAGATGAAATAAGTGTCTGATACAAATTTTAGTATTACAACACATTCGTTAATAAAATGGTTGAACTGCCCTACCGTCATTCTTGTGTGGCCCAAGATGAACAGGATAAAAAAACACAAAGGAGAAAGAAGGGCAAATATGAGACAGGAAGGATGGGAGGTGATACAAGGGCAAGAAGAGGAAAAAATAGCATGAAATGTAAGGGTAAAAAGAAGAAAAATGCTGGGTAGGTGCGGGGATGTATCAGATGAAGAAAATTGACTGCAGACATTCTCAGGAACATTGCCCCCCTTCTACAGATTAACTTGAAACTATACTCACATTTAAACTCTGAAAATTCTTATTTCTGTATTTGAAAGTTTGAAATTGCCTCCTAAGCTCTGCCATAACAAATATAATGACTATTAAAAATAGTAGGAATAACTGCAATCAAAACTAACAGTTCAGATTTGTGCCTGAAAATGTAATGATTAGAAATCAACTCAGCTGAAAACATGAAGGAAATTACTAAAAGGGTACAACCAGGACAATTCATATTTAAGCTACTAACAAGCTTTTTTCTCAAATTCTTCAACAGTAAAATCTTCCTGCTAACTGTACCAGTTAGGTGTCTCATATTGTATTATTCTGTGCCATTCCATCTTTTGAGTCCTACAATTCCAATACAATGAAAAATTAAATGCAACACGTACTGATTAATTTTAAATTACATCTCCTTCTTGCCCTTGAATAGAGTCTTGTTTTCTAAATGTTTAGCCAAAATAGTGGAATGACACACTCTAAGCATCTCTAACTGCAGCATATGAGATCGTGAAGGCAACAAACAATATGCAGTTCCTCTATGAATTTGTACTGAAGCAGCTCACTAAGAAGATCTGTATTGGAAGAGCAGCCAAATTCTTTAGCAAGGATCAGGAACAATATTTCTTGTTTAGCAGAACAGCCACCGTTCAGACAACAAACACTGTTAGTGAAGGGACAGAGGAAAGAATAAGCCTTCTGCTGGCTAAGGAAGTGTACTGTGCTGTCTAGACAATTTGTATTTTTGTTTTGTTATATGTTTAAGCACATAGCAATTTATTATACTATTGTTATACCTCAGGCTATGCTTCCTGTGAATAACCTATGCAAGCTTTCCACTACAGTTGGAGAATCTTCTTCAAAAAAACAGTATTTTAGACAATGTCTACTCCTTTGTTTAGGATTCTAGTAAAAGCCATAGTAGCGCACCCTTTGGAGAGAGATGCAAGAATAACAAGCTGGAGTCACCTAGGTGAAATTTCATCAGTATCATTCCCATACTCCCACCAAAACTTTAATTATGTAGCCTCTGAAGCATTCTTTTCCTATGCTGTGACGCTATACAATAACAGGTTTGAAAGCACACTGTAATCCAAGGTTGGTTATTACTATGCTGATGAAAGTTCAGGCTGCACTCAGTGCAAGAAAAACAAACTAAATTAAATACATTCAGGTTATACATATTTCTAAAGTAAATCATAAGAGAAAAATTCAAATCACATTTGTACCTTAAAATTCCCTGTGCCTTCGTTAGCTCTGAAAAACAAGAAAAGAGTAAACACAGTCTATATTGCTAAGGTTAACAGTTATTAACACCCTCAAGCTCTTTATTATAATAGTGACGTATTGATTTAGTAGTCTAGCATATCAAGCTTATTTTCCAAATGAGGCTCTTCCTTTCATTAAACTCTAACACATGAAATAATACTAGACTGAATTTATGTTATCTTCTCCTACCCTTTATTTGGTACACCATTTTTCTTGTGAATTCAGCTATTTATGACTTTAAGGTTTGTCTACATGAAATGGAAAAAAAAACCCCCATAGCCTAAAGCCATTTTTAAACACAATATAATATTCATTTTCATAGGAGTAGGCTGTAATATTAATGCTGCTTAAACATCCATACTTCATTATCCTTGATACTTAGAACTTTAATAGACAGTACCTAAGAAGTTGCTAACAGAACATGCCTAACCACCAAGAGGCTTTCAGGGCTGGTTGTAGGCTTTCCAGACTATTTATATCACAGGATTAATGCTGATGCTATCTAGAAACTCAGGAAAGCAGCAGGTGTTTCTCTGGAAGGTGGAATACACACAAAGGTGGCAAGTGACCAAATTCTCAGCTGGCTTCAACAGAGGTTCATTGATTTGCACAGTCTAGGCATGTGATCTACTACTGATCACCTATACTCCACACCTCCATCTTCTAGTGCAATGTATAAATTTCTCAATTAATTCAGCCCAATTCATGGACATTTCACTATTCTTGCATTGCATTAGCAAGTATGCACATATGAGAGTTAAAAATGCACTATTTCATTGCACTGGAGAGAGTAAAAATCAAACCACTGTAAATCAACTATACTTCTACTGACCATTTCATATAGCAAACAAATGTATTTGTAATGTTTGTGCAGACCACACGTTAGCATGGCACTTCAGGTTACCATAATTGAGTATCTCCACCTCTAAATACGTACCAGCTCTCAGACAGACTATCATCAAATTCTGCCACTGAAATGAAATTTAAATTTACTAAGAAACAAACATAGAAAAACTTTTCTACTACAGCTGTCATTTTGATACAGTTCCACAGCAACAGGCAACTAGAGAATACACTCTAAAGACACAATGTAGACACTCAGACTTTCAAAGTAACAATTTCTGCTGGCTGGTCCAATCTATTCTAAGTTTTCTTTATCCAAAATGCTTTCTTAATCTCTCATCACCAAGACAAACTCTTTTGATTTTGAGTGTTGAAGAGGAAAACATATTAACCTTTAAACATATAAAGTATAAAAGAAGATGAAAGGTTAAAAAATTCACTAAAATAAAATGCAAAGAAGATGCTGTTAGGCCATCGTAGTTTTTTTGTTAGAAACATTTTGTGCTTCCCTCCACGTAAATAACAAAACCACAGTGGACAGTTTCAAATAGTATAGATGGTATTTGCACAATATTACCTGCTTTGCTGCCAACACTGGAAGGGAAGCTTGAAACAAAACTACCAGAAAAAACAAACACAACAACACAGACTCAAAAGTCATCTTGTTTCACAGACAGGCAGATACACGTTTACTAGTTTTGAGGTCTAAGTTGCCTGACATCATCTTCTTGCTTTGAAAAAACAAAACCATATGTGCTGAGAATCCCAGGAGGGGGAAAGTAACCAGGAGACTTTCACAGTGGAGGTCTAAACCAAAGTACTTTCACTACAGTGAGTTCAAACCGTATCTAATCCGGCAGTCAAGACAATCTAAGGAAGCTTTCCTACAGAGTCATCAAGTGTTCCAACCTGAAAGGAACATCCTTGGAACTAAAATCTAATTGCCTTTTTTAAAAGTCATTTTACAGTAAAATTATCATTGAGAAACATGCGGGGCTGTTGGTATAAAAGCATGCGCCTATGCCCCTTCACTCCATATGCTCCCTCTGCCACCTGCTGGGCCAGCAGAGCAGTGGCTGGTAACCATCATAGGTCCCAGAACAGGCATCCTTCACACTCATACCTAGATGGTAACTTCATAAGATACAGTCACAGCCAAGGCAATAAAGTAACAGCATATAAATTCCTAACCCAACAAAATGTATGGTAAATAGCTTTACTCTTTTCTACTGGATTTTAGTCAAAGCATTTTACCTTATGTCTGTATATATCCATTTAATCACATTTTACCCAGTGGGGTATAAAGCATGCCTGAGCACCCAGTCACTGGGACCCTGTACTAATTACATCATGTGTCTTATACCACATTCATTAAAGGGAAAAAGCCTTTGTAAGTACAATTAAAAACTATATTTAAATTAAGTTTCAAGTGTACAATACACAAAGGTCACATGCTGAACAGCCATATAGTCTTTGCTTCCCTCCCCTGTTCAACACACGGCTCTTGGCTTTACTTATGACAATCCTGCTCTTAATGTAAAAGCATTAATTTCCTCAGTCTCATTTCTTCAGCAGATGAATGTATTTCCATACCATCCTACTCAACAGAATGGCAGTATAACACCTTGTTTAAATAGAAGAACCTGAGACAGACTCTGCTGAAAGGTATCCAAGAACTTCAAGTGCCAAATTTGAGATATCCAAGATTGGGTTTGTCTGCAGAACACTTGATAGTACAGTTTTAGTCATGACTCCCCCTTTCAGCTGTGCTTGTGAGCATTCAGCACTTCTGCAAGTCAGGCATAAAGAAAATGAACACTGAAATTAAGTCACGTATGCGGATTCACGAGGACATTCTATAGCACAGTCAGGCATCGTTCCCCAGAGGTTTAGCTCTAAGACCTTCTCTTTTCTTCCTGCAGTCCCACTCCTCATCCATTTAAAGAAATAAAGAAGCCACGTGATAGGCAACAAAGATAAAGCCAACAAAACAAAAAACCACACGCCACCTCCCACCTGACCAAAATTTACCCATTTGTTCTGTACTCTGAATAAAGTGAGATGCAGTGAAGACACCGGACATAACATAAAAAGACTAGGACATGATATCTACAAAGAGTGAGGTTGAATCAAAATGGTATGCTTTGCTGCTAGAATTTCCCAATTTCTGAGGGCTTGCTTTTACATCATGGTGTACTAGTTTGCTATGATTACATATCAGAGTTCTCTGAACATTTTGTTCAGACAAAGTCAGGCCAAAAGCAGGCACAATCTGGGTAGAGGGGTAAGAGCTGCACAAAGGTCAAGCTGCTTCCCATTCACAATTGATGTTCTGCACTGTGTGGTGCTAGCAGAGTAGTTACAGCTTTCAATCCTTTCTCAATTACCCTCTCTCATTCACTAACATATAAAACTGTATATGGTCAAAGCAATACAATTTCTCCTTCTTGTGTTTCTGAAAACAGCTCAAGTGTTTGGGCTGGATTTCTGCCCTCCCCAATTCATGGCTAAAGGTGACTCCTCATACAAAAGCTTCAGCATCATTCATTCAAGTCTGGGAAACTGTCAGGCAAACTTAATAGTAGACCACATTATTACCCCCACCTACAACCTTTAGAGGAACACTACTCTTGTTGCCCAGGTTGCAGCTGCAGTCCCCAAGTTAGTGAGCAAGTCCTAGTATAGTCAGCATTAATGGTACTGCCACCTACAGGGATTAAGGAAGTGTAAGAGACAGGTATTTCATTCAGTTTCCTGAGACTACACTACTTTGTTAAAAATAAAATAAACACATGTAAATTATAAAACTACACTTTTTAGGAAGTTATCCTCATAGGAAGACACCTTACACATGTAATTATCTGCATCATCTAGCTATGCATAGTTGGCTGTCACTATTGCACTGTAAGTTAAAACCAGCTCCCCATTGCTATTTGAGGTGGAAGAAATGCACATTCAGTGAAAACTAAGAGCCAGTTAGCAGCGCAACACGCACAAGCAGCACCCTCACATCAGCCACTTGCTCTTATATTTGCCCGCAACTCACCCAATGAACTCCAGAAGTATGGAGATGTCAAGTTCTGGTGGGATCCGGAACACAGAGCCCAGAACTTTTCGAGGTCTTCCTCTGCTCACTGGAACTGGCTGTGGGACAGCTAAAATATTCAAATAGCCAAAATGCAAACACAACTTGAAATAAAAGCAGCATAGGATGCTAAGATGCATCAAGCAAAACAGATGAGCTCATAAGGAAAGAGAACCCAGACAATTTTTTTTTAATTACTAAATCATCTCTTTACACATTTCATGCTGTGTATCTGACTCAGCATTTTATTAGCTTTTAGCATGGCACTTCTCCAGAGAGCTGGTTATTTGATAGTAAGACAACAAATAATTAGAATAACCCCTCATCTTTCAAAAGACTTTGAAGTTCTTATTTTTACTCCTTTGTAATTTCTATTTTTTATTAAGGGCCAGAAAATAAAATTAATGCACATTTTATATATATCCGGTTGTAGGCAAAATATGTTTAAAAAAAAAATCCAACCATGGTCTGCATTTAAGTGCTTCCAGTTCCATCTATTTTTGTAACCTGAGAACTGTGACAAGTTACAGTAATCAGACAACCAAGAACCCCGTATTTCCAGTACTACATATCTTTTTCAGTTGTGAGCTAATATTTCAAGGAAAGCCCTTAAGAATAAATAGTATAGTAAATATTTCCTTAACAGTGTCCTCTAAAGTGATTACAGCTCACCTGGTTTGGGCACTTCTAATCCTCTTTCTTTATAGAAGTCATGCATTTGTTTTTTCTCTCCTGAAAAAACCCACAATACAGAACAGACTGGAATGTTATTTCAGATGCAGAGAATACCCATATAGTTTCCCATGGTCAGAGAAGTAAAAACTTTCCAAGTTCTTACAGACGTTCGCCATCACTAGTATTCCATATGAGGCTGGGACACTTAAGATACCCAGACTAAGAGTTTGTTAGTAAAAACTGGGAGGAAGTTAGAGAAACTGGCCATAAATCATACTGAAATAGCTGCAAAAACTAGTATCCTTCTGGCTTTCACAACTCTGTTTTTATACCATCGATAGTCCATATATATGCACTAGATGTGTATATTTCTCTCAGTTCACCCAGCTGGACTGTGCAGATTCATTGGCTCCCGAAGTACAAGGTAAATGACATGAGACAGCAAACACATCTAAAATCAGAAAAATAAATGTGGCAGTGAGGAAAAAAATAAAAGCATTTGAGAGAATCAGTCTTGGCAACTTTTTTTTCCAACAGAGCCAGGTGAACTTATTAGGTGGAATGATATTTTCCATACTTACACAAAAATATGAGGCATGACTACGAAATATTATCTGGATGTTTATCTGGATACAGTGACACCTGTGTTTCAGGAGACAGGGTACATACCACATCCGTAATAGCATTTAGCAGCCAGAAAGATGCCAGTTATCACAGCTAATTCGTTAAGATTCGTAACCAAACATTAAAAACTATTTTAAAGTGCCCAGAGTAGAAAAGGGGCTTTGAATTACTCTGTTTTCTGTTCAGTCTTTTCAATCTCTAGACAGTAATGAAACAAAGAGACTTACTTTCCTCCAAATTGACAACTAATTTATAGACTATGTCTTGCAGTTGTCGGTCCAGTCTATTGAAGAAAAAAAAAAAAAGCATCTTTGGTGCAATACAGAATGGTTTTCATTAAATTGTAACAGAGGTGCCAAATACACCACTGAAATGTGACATACATAAAGAGAAGAGTGACAGAGCAGCAACTCCATATCTATCTAAATTCATGTCTTGACACCAGAGCTCCAACAGAAGAAACCAAGTAAAGTTAAAGGCACCGCCCTTCAAGAATTCATGAAGAGTTTGAGAAACTAAAACTCAATTTTTGGAGTTAGTAAGTATACCATGCCAAGAAAGCTTTGTCTAAAAGGAAATCAAAGCAAATAATTAAGATCTCCACCTGTAACACTGAGCAAATGCATAAAAATACTCAGCGTGGGGGGTAACGAACCCTAGAAAGGAATACAAACTAGACAAAACAAGAAATTGAGTATTTTTATCTTCACTATCGAGATGAAACTTATATAAACAAAGAACACAATGCGTTTCTTGTTTGTGTTCCTTCATTTGAAATAGGAAAGCACTCCAAGTCTGTAAAACAAAACATTTAAAAGCAAGCAGCAAAACTCAAAAAAAATTATACCTATAAAAATGCCATGAACTTATTACCTGATATTATAAAGGGGCTGTGTCTGGTGTACAACAATATTGCATTTTGGACATCTGTTGCTATAGTAGAAGTGCCTCACTATGCAGCTTTTACAAACTGTAAAGAAAAGAACCCCCATAAAAATCACATCAATTTTACAATACCATCTGCTTAAGCAAGAAGAGCAATTACACACAGACCTCTCAAAATTTGTCAGAGACAAAATGAAGCAACTTGTTCAACTTTCAAACTCAAGTAAATAGCAGCTCTCTGCCTGTACAGGATACAACACTCCTGAATATTCAATTAGGATTATTCCTAATCTCTTCCTACCAATAATCCTAATCCAATTGATGCAAAGGTAGGTGTTCAATGTTGCAGCTGTGTTACCCAGAACAAGAGTAGAGCCAAGACAACAGAATATTGTTGACTGCTGCAGACAAAAGGTTTGCTGAAAAGCATCCTACAAACAGTTTCAGTAGAACTATCAAGGTAAGAAATTATAATTCTGCCATTTTCATTGTATTTTACAAGTACTTTAAAAATATGGAAGAAAAAAATAATGAGTGGAAATGTCTAGAATAAATAACCTACTATTGAATCAGCTCCCTATAAGCCTGAATGCATCAAACGTTTCCGCAACATTTACCAGGAAACTTCTAAGAGATCACCACAGTTGCACTTGCAACATTATGCTGTCCTTACTAACAGTTGTGCATTTTCCTAAATTACAAACTGCACCGAATATCACATGGTATATATCAAACTACTAAGCAGTGCCCCATAAAAGGAAAAAAAAAAGAGGAAAAAAAGGGTTTTCCTTCTATGTAGTGTTAGCAGCTGGAAGGACTAGGAAGCTGAGATTCTTGGATTCAGGTAGGAACATGGGTGTGGCTGAAAGAGCTTCATAGAAAGGGTTTTTACTAGCTTTGAGGAAAATAGTTCTGTTAGCAACGGAAAAACTGTTAACACAACACGAGGATTGAGGGGAAAAATAACATGACAAGAGTACTGAAATCAGTTTTTTATTATCCATCTATTGATCAGATTATAAACTAACTGTCCCATGGGTGCATACAACTGTTTCTGTATCTGAACTTGGTGCTTCCACACAGCTGCTTACTGAGTTTTGTGAATTTACAAACTCAAACCAGCAACAGTTTAGGAAACTCTCTAGTCCATTTGAGCAGAGGCACTCAACTTTCTTTTCCCAGTTATATACTCAAATTCCTAGAGCCTACTTTCAGAAAGTAATTTTTAAAAAAAAAAAGTGTGTAGTAGCTCTATTTTTGTTTTAGTTGGACTTCATCTTTCTCTACATCTTCTTCCCTCTTAACCTGGGAAACTAAGCTGACTTAATGATTGATTGATTTAATAATTTTCTGATGCTTAAAATATCGACAAATATATTTTCCCTAAGGAACAGAATAAACACAACACACATTCACTTCAAACAGAGAATTATCTTTGTGAAGCCAGAACATCTCAACAGCTGATTTTTGTTTGAATTTGCAAATAAGATCTTAGAAGGACAGCACTGATACTTACAGGTGTGCAGACATTCTGTAATAGTTGTAGCATCAATAAAGTAACCTTTGCAGATGGAACACAGGATGTAAGGGGTCAACTCTGCGAGGTTTATCATACGCTACAAACAAAGACAGTTTGTAAGAGTTTGAATATACGGGCTAAGCCATGAAATTTCCTGATTGGAGCTTCCAAAATATCACAGCCTTAAACCACAGAAAGAAATCTGGATCAACATGCTACAGAAATGGGTTTTCCTTAGAGGTCAATCATTCCTCATATACAGCTCTTTTTGAAAGAGTTTCATCTAGCCTTCCAAACTGACCTTTTTGTGAATGGCAACCCAATTTGTTTCATGAATCATATTTGAAAAGCAAACTATATCAATCCTTTTGGGAAAAGTTCTTTTGGATAAACTCTTTAACAGAATATGACATAATCAGCAAGCTTGAAGTGGATACTAGTAGCAAATAGTGTAATTATTTGAAAATGCTCAGCAAGCATGTTGGGGCCCCCAAGCAAGGTATGTAACTAGTGTCGTCTCCGTTTCTACACAAGGTTAGGGATTATACAAACACATATTGAAGCAAAGGCTGAAATTTCACTGCTCTGAATTCTGGTTATGAAGTACATTTATCAGGAACGCATATGAGTAGTTTTACAACGATCTTCCTGTCAGAAGCCTACTATTTAAAAAAAAGAACAAAGTTCTTCTATAGCAGCGATCTGAGATCTGTCTGAAAAGGTAACACATTGGATTTTTACATCCCATTTCCTCTAGTCTCAAAGCCAGACTAAGGGTCTTTCTTTCCCTCAACGACACCATTCATTTTGCCCACATGCCACCGTTTACCACCCTCTCAGCTACGCCAAGAGTTTGCAAGGGCTTCATTTAAATGAGACAGATAAAATGAACTTGGGTAATAATAAAAAGCCTATTACCATACGGCTTACGTTGCCTAAGCAGGGGTCCAGATTGGCACCTGGAAGTTTTCAGAAGTCCCCGAAAGCGTGTAAGTTCACGTCCACTGCTTACAGGACCTGCCCGAAAACCGCGGACTTCTGCAGACGCCAGGCCTCACCTCAGGGCGTCGCGTTTCTCACGCGGCAGCCTCCCCACAGCGGGGCAGGCTGCCCGCCCCGCCACCTCGTGCCCTCCTCACGCTCGCACTCCCGCCCTCACCTCACAGCTGCCCCCGCGGCGCCCTGCTCCGGTCG